TTTGTCATGATTTTATCACCTACAACAAGCTTAGAGTTCAGGGCTCTCCACATATATCCTTGGGGAAATTTTATTGCAATTAAATAGTTTCGAAACAAATCCGCCCAAAATGTAAATGTCTATACAATCGGAGTATTGGTGTGACCCCTGGGGAGCTGGTAACTGCAGCTGGACCCCGCTACCCTAAAAATGGGTATTTCTATTTCCCCATATTTCAACTTGCATATGTTACCCCCATTTCAGCAAACGGACGGTATACGTTAACATAACGAGATTTTTTAACAGTCTATTGTCCCTTTTCAATGAAATTTTTAATTTACATTTTATCTCATTTTATCTCTTTATTTGTATTTCCAACAATAGTTCATTTTGTCTCTATTTTATGGAAAATGTTATCCCTTATTTTACTACAAATAATTCCCTCCCACACACACACACACACACACTGCTATAGAATATCAGAGGTGGAAGGGGCCTCAGGAAGTCATCTAGCCTAAAACCTCTGCTCAAAGCAGGACCACTCCTCAAAATGGCCCCCTCAAAGGATTGAGCTTACAACCCTGGGTTTGGGGCGGGGGGGGCAACGCACAAACCACTGAACTATCCCTCCCTCAACAAGCAGAGAACCATATAAATCATCTCCTAAACTAGGCAAAGACGTGTTAATAATTTCCTAATTAAACATTATGCCCATTATATTATCCAAGGGTGATTTTTAAATTAGCTCTTTAAATAAACATGTAACTGTTAAGGGGAGTTGTATCGTTAAGCCGCGTCAGTACTCAGTCTGTTTCACGCCTCTGCTGCCCGTTTTAATGTCTGCAACAACCACTGCAGCAAGGCTGGGGGGCGGGGGCGGGGGTTTGCAGAGCTCTGCTAAGAGATTCTCTCAGAGTGCGCGCTGCAAGGCGCAGTGATACACCGCTGTGTCCGCCAGCTCCGGGGCTGTGATGTTCACAAGTGTGGAGCTCTCGTCAGCCTTAGGAGGAAAACCTCTCCTGGGCGAAATCTGCCGTATCGCTCTAAGCTCTGTCCGCTCCGGAGAATGTACTGAGGGGCTCGGTTAGGAAACCGGCCGTACCAAAAGAGAGAGACGCCAGCAGTGTCACTGGCATTTTAGGAACAGCTGAGTGTCCCAGTCTCCCCTACTGACCCAGACACTTCGGGTTCCTTGGAGCGGACCGAGTTGCCCAGCGCGGCACCTGCAACAAGACAATCAAGCTCAGGGACACCCTTGAATTGCACTTGACCCATGGAAACGGTTCCAGGTGCACGGCAGTTTGAGGGTGGGGAATTTCGAAGGAATGTAAGGGCGTTATGCGCCTAACAACTCCAAATGAATTAAGGGTAGGGGTGATCACGGAGAAAAGGCTTAGCGTTTAGGACAAGGGCTAAGGTTAAGGGAATCTGTGCTGGACAGTTTAAGATTGTGCTTCGAGTTTAATGCGCAAGGAGTGTTTAATCCCGTAGAATTCTCTGAAAATTCGTGCCCGGTTACCTAGGAGATTCACTATCCATAAACCGAGAAAAACCGGCGTCTCCATGCTGTCTCCTGCAACCACCAATTGTCTACCTCCCAGATATTGCTGCCGATGCAAAATAAATCTTAACTTCACGTCCCCTGAAAGCAGCACCTACTGGGGAAGGTTAATCAGAAACCCGCCGAGTGGAAGAGGGGGGATGGGGTGGGCTCGTAACAGACACAGGAAACAAGCCGTGTTCAGGTTAGTCTGCAGCGGAAGTCGCAGGGCGGTTTAGGGAAGAAGGAGGGTTTGTGAGTCAGTTAGGCTGAGGACACCTGGCTTCAGTTCCCACTTCTGCCGCCGACTGCCTGTTTGCCCTGGAGCAATCCAGTTAATGTCTCTGTGCCTCAGTTTCCCACATGTAATATATATATTGTTATATTTCTCCACCTCCCCAGGTGACTATGAGGATAAATATCTTGGGGTGATTAGCAGTTACTGGGAGAGGGTCATATTACTATATAGTATTTTTTTTCATTTGAATGAAATCTGAGATTGTCCAAGGAGCAATGCGAACTAGACATCTCACTCTCTGTCTTCTTTGAAAGTTTCGGACATCATTCTTGAAATAATTTATTTATTTATTTGCCTTTTTCTTCTTCAGCCATTGTTGCTCCACTCGATAAGAATTATGAAATTAAGCACAAAGGGATTTCAAATGATAATAAGTATTCACACTTTTCAACTGACCATTCAGCTGCTTGCACAGTGTACCTGGAAGGCATTGTTTTAATCATATGGATTATGGAAAAGAATAAGGGTTTCCTAAAAAATGGCTTCAAAGCAGAACCTTACCTGATGCTTGAAAAGTGATTTAGTTCTGGGACATCGGGAGCCAATGATTTGTTTACATTACTCTCATTTACAAAGAGCTATTTTACTATCATTATTTTACCCATCACTTTTAACCTCCATTTAGCAACAAGTTCCCGTTTTTACATGATTTATTGTATACTAAGAACCGCAATAGAACGTGAGAAAATACTTTAAATAAGTTACTTGACTGGACCCCTGCCATTTATATTCTCCAGTGGTGGTATTTCAATGCAGTGGTTCTCAACCAGGGGTAGGAGTACCCCTGTGAGTATGTCGAGATCTTCCTGGGGGTACATCAACTCATCTAGATATTGGCCTAGCTTTACAACAGGCTACGTAAAAAGAACTAGGGAAGTCAGTACAAACTAAAATTTCATACAGACAATGACTTGTCTATTATACTGCTCTGTATTCTATACACTGACATGAAAGTGCGATATTTCCAACTGATTGATTTTATAATTCATCGTAAAAATAAAAAGAAAATTTTCAGTAACAGTGGGCTGTAAAACTTCTATTTTTATGTCTGATTTCCTTAGAAAGAAGTTTTTAAGTGAGGTGTAACTTGGGGTAGGCAAGACAAATCAGACTCCTGAAAGGGGTAAGAATAGTCTGGAAAGGTTGAGAGTCATAAGAACATAAGAATGACCATACTGTCGTCAGACCAAAGATCCATCTAGCCCAGTGTCCCATCTTCTGACAGTGGCCAATGCCAGGTGCCCCAGTGGGAATGAACAGAACAGGGAATCAGCAAGTGATCCATTCCCTGTCACCCGTTCCCAACTTCTGGCAAACAGAGGCTAGGGACACCATCCCTGCCCATCCTGGCTAATAGCCATTAATGGACCTGTCCTACATGAATTTATCTAGTGCCTTTTTGAACCCCGTTATAGTCGTGACCATCACAACATCCTCTAACATCAAGAGTTCGACAGGTTAACTGCAGGGAGAAATATTTCCTTTGTTTGTTTTATATGTGCTGCCTATTGATTTCATTGGGTGACCCCTGGTTCTTGTGTGAAGGGAATAAAAAACAACACTTCCCTATTTACTTTATCCACACCCGTCGAGATTTTATACACCTCTATCATATCCCCTTAGTCGTCTTTTTTCCAAAATGAAAAATCCCGGTTTTATTAATCTCTCCTCATATGCAGCTATTTGAATAAGAATTTGGTGCGTCGGAGAGATAAGGAAGGAGTAATCTGACAGCACCACATCCGAGCCAGAATATGTGTTTTTAACAGTGCAGCAAAACTCCCCAGGGGCTCCGCTTCCAACCTCAGTGGGCACAACATTCTCGGCAGCAGGGCTGGGAGGGTTTTTGTACGGATCTCCTATGTGGCTCTGTCACTGTGCTCTCTGCAGGGCGCAGTAATACACCGCGCTGTCCGCCAGCTCCAGGGCTGTGATGCTCAGAACTGTGGAGCTGTCAGTAGCCTGGGACGAAAACCTCTGCTGGGCGAAATCTGCTGTGTCGCTGGTACCGCTGGCGGATTTCGCTCCCTTCCAGAGAATGTACTGCGGGGCTTGGTTCGGATACTGACGGTACCAGAAGAGATAAGCATAGGCACTGCTGGTGGTGTAAGAACAGCTGAGTGTTACAGAAACTCCAACCGGCCCAGACACTTCGGGTTCGTTGGACTGGACAGAGTCGCCCAGCGCAGCACCTGAAACAAGGCAAACACATTCAAGGACAACATTTCACCTTTAGTTGAGACGTGTAAATGATTCCACCTGCATTGCAGTTTAGGGAATTTGAAAGAAGACTAAGGGATTTAGGCTCCAAACTCAGTAGGCATTAATGTTATGAGCAGGGGAACGTTTAGGGTTTAACGTCAGGATTAAGGCGAGGGTATGACCAAGACTTTAGGGTTGTGATGAGGGTGAACTATCAGATTGTAGCATTCGCGTTTTGGTTACAGTTCAGGGTAAGGGTTAAGTAGAGGGTTAGGTTTAGGGTTCAATAGGAATTGAGTGTCTAGTTTCCTTTGAAATCCCAGCCCAGTTACCTAGGACGTTGAATATACAAATGCTGAGAATAAAACACGTCTCCATAGTATCTTCTCTATCCACCAAGTTTCAAACTCTCAAATATTGCTTCTGCCTGAGGGCAATATAAGTTTCACTTCTGTAAGGGCAGCTACAACTGTGTAAAATTATTTAGAAACCAACGGAGAGGAAGAGGGAGGAGTTCGGGGAACTCACCGCAGATGCAGGGGGTTGAGGTCAGCCTGCAGCTGACATATTAGTGCTGTTAAGGGGAGGGGGATGGGCTTGTGGACAAGGGTCTGATCTGGGACTCAGAAACCTGCTCTGTCACATACTCTGAGTGTGTGACGTTGGATAATTTATTCATCAGTTTCCCTTCCTGTAAGATGGGGGTTCCAGTTCCTCTAGGGAATTTTCAGATCTCTCGATGCACTCAGATATCATTGGTATGGGGCATTAATATGTTTACCAGTAATAATGTATGGGGTTATCACCAGAAAAATGTGACGGGATGAGGCACCCCTCTCTGCTAACCTCCTTTGAAATGCCCAGCCATAATTCTTGAAATAATTATTTTTTGCTGGCAGCCTGAAGATTAAACCGAAGATCCCCTTGGTAGGGTTTCAAATGACAACCTGTGTATATATTTTCCACCGGCAGATGGCGATGCCTTGTCATGATTTTACCAGGTACAACAACCTTAGAGTCCAGGGCTCTCAACATATATTCTTGTCAAAGGTTTGTGGCAATTAAATAGTTTTCCCAACAAATCCGCCCAAAATGTAAATGTCTATAAAATAGGAGTATTGATATGAAGACTGGTGAGTTGGTAACTGCAGCTGGATTCCATCACTCAAAAATGGGTATTTCTAACTATTTCCCCATATTTCAACTTGCATATTTTGCCCCCATTTCACCATACAGAAAATATACAGTTAAGTTAACGAATATTTTAGAAGTTTATTGTTCGTTTTTCAATGAAATTTTCATTCACATTTTATCTCAATTTGTTTTTCCAACAGTAGTTCATGTTGTCTCTATTTTTACCCATAATTTTAACCCTTCTTTTATCATTTATAATAAAAGAAGGGTTTATACACACACACACACACACACACACACACACACACACACACACACACACACACACACACACACACTACAC